AAAAAAAAAGCTGCAAGTGATTGAGCAACGAGAACATGCCGGGTAATGGGATAGTTGCTGTACATGATCTCTTAATCCTCACAACACACTGTATAGGTGAGGAAACCAAATCTTGGAAAAGTTAAGCAACCAGTCTGTAAAGTTATATAGCTAGTTGGTTGGTTTTTTTTTTTTGTATTGTTTTGTATCAGGGATTGAACTCAGGTCTCTGAGCTTGCGAGGAGGCAGGTGGCAGCACCACTAAAGTTCTATAGCTAGTAACAGCAGCACCATGTTATTGAAGACTTCCTGGGCTTTACCTGCCCAGCTGCATGTAATTGTCTCAGCAATCTCTTGAATTGTATATTCTTTCCCCATTTAAGATTAGTGTAGGTTTGTTTGTATTTGGTACTGGGGATCAAACTTGGGACCTTGTGCTTGCAAGGCAGGCAATAGAACCCCTGAGCTAAATCCCCAGCCCTAGCTTGGTTTGTTTGTTTTTTGAGCCAAGGTCTTGATGTATATTCTAGACTGGCCTTGAACTGTGTGTCCCAGGCTACAGAATACCTGCGATCCTCCTGCTTCAGCCTCCCAAGTACTGGGATTACAGGCCTATGCCACCACGCTGAGCTACTTAAAATTTCTTTTTCTTTGGTACCGGGGATTGAACTTGGGACCTTATGCTTACAAGGCAAGTGACAGAAACACTAAGCAGTTTTTTTTTTCTTCTTCTTCTTCTTCTTTTTTTTTCCTTCTTCTTTTGGTTTTTGAGTATTGAACCCAGGGCCTTCACACTGACCTACATTTTATTTTTCTGAGACAAGGTCTCAGTAAGTCACTAAATTGCCTGGGATTCAGGTATGTGCTACCAAGCTACACCCCTAGCCTTCCTCCCCGTATGTAAGTATATATGTATTTTATGTTTGTTTTGACACTGTTTCAAAAAGCAAAACATATATATATGTAGTTCCTTCTTTCCTAGTTCGTTTCTTCACTTCTGGCTGGCAATCTCCTGTACACACTAGCCAGCACCAACCCATTTAGGAACAGCATTTGTCTTTGAACCACCTGCAGAGCCCTGAACTAAAAAAGCCATTGGCTAAAACTGGGCAGCAGTCTGCGCCCACCGTGGTGCTTTAAGGACTGGTGACATTATAGGCCTGGGTGGAGTCCTCGTCCTTTGCTTAGTCAGCCAGGCACCTCATTTCTTGGTGCAGGAAGGAGCATTGTGTGACGAACAGTGTTCTCTGCTCTGTGCTTCACGGCAGGAGGTGGGCCTAGGTCACATAGGGTTTGATGACCCACCCTGGCAATCAGCATTCAGCATACCTGGTGCCCGGTGCCCAGCATGAGCGTGCAGCTGAGTGTCTAATTGGGACGTTTACAGTGATGAGTGGGCTGGCTCTGCACCTCCGGCTGGCAGCATCAAGGGCCTTGCCTCGCAGAAGGGGCAAGCTCCAGCCGAATGAGCTGCCTTTCTCTGCACAACCTTCTCCTTCCCTGCCCACCCCCTGCAGAAGCTGCTTTCCCTTGTCTCCGTCTCATGTGTTCAGGCGCTCTCGCTCGATTGCCTTTTAAGTAAGAGGCATTGGGTGGCCTCTTGAAGCCTGTCTGTGGACAGGCTCGAATTGGCCTGAGATGGGCTAGGGGTGCTGGCAAGGAGATGAGCTGCCGTCTCGCAGCTGAGCTACCCTCACAAATTGCCCAGTTCCGCCGTAAAGCAGGACAAGCTGTGCACAAGCCCCTGTTGCTTTCATCTGACCAGGATCTGCTTGCGCGCTTCTTTGTATTATGTTATTTATTCTCTTCTCAGAGAGCTTTATTGCTTTTCAGATTATGAAAGTAACAGATGCCCGTATCCAAGAAGTGTTAAGTGGAAGAAGAGGTTCACTTGTAATTCCAGCCACTGTAGCATTTCTGGGTTTAGGATCAGAAATTTTCTTTGTATTTGCACTCATATTTTTTCTCTCTTTAACTATCGAAACAGACCGTATACTCTATGTTGTTCTTTAATAGCTGTTTTCTAGCACATCTTGGGCCTGTTTATGTAAATAAACTTAGAATCGTGTCAGTTGTATCTCATGTTGCATTGTCTAGAATATGGTTGTTAACTAATACGTTACCGGTTAATATTTAAATTTTTACTGTTTTCCACTATTATAGATACTGGGTAAACATTCATAATTTGTATATATAACATAACTTACATTGTATTTAATTTTTTGTTACACCAAACTATGTATGAATTAGTCATTTTAACTTTTTTAAAGTCTATGTGTGGTTCTGGAGATTGAACCCAGGGCGATTGCGTTGAACTGTATCCCCAGCCCTTCTTTGCTTTTGTTTTTTGAGGCAGGGTCACGCCAAATTGCCCAAACTGGCTTCATAATTGGGGTTTTTTGTTGGTTTTTTGTTTTGTTTTTTTTTTGGTACGGGGGATTGAACTCGGGTCCTTGTGCTAGCACGGCAGGCCACCGAACCACTGAGCTAAATCCCCGGCCCACTGGCTTCATAATTGTAATCATCGTGCCTCAGGCTCCCAAGTAACTGGAATTGAAAGCATGCACCACCACACCCAGCTCCTGGCTTTTTTTTTCCCCCATTTTAAAAATTTTGAAGGAGGGTCAATCCCCAGTACCACAAAAGAAGTTTCAGCTTGCCCCTCCCTCCCAGTTTCCACACGCCTCTCTGGCAAGGGGTCATAAGGTGAGGGTGGAGGTGAGGGGGCCTCTCTAGCCTGCGGCCTGTGTCTGTGGTCCAGCTAGTGTCCAGCTGCCCCTGGCCTAGCTCGGATGTATGGCGCTGTGGGAACCTGCTCCCCAACAACAGGCTGCCCCCGCGGCTCTTGGCCTGGCGTGAGGGTCTCCCCGATCTGAGAATGGCTACCTCTCGAAATGAGCCAGTGGCTGCAATTGGTGTGGGTGCCTATGGGACCGGGTACGAGGCCCATGAGTCCCCACTGGAGGAGGAGCTGGAAGAGGCCTACCCATCAACACGGTAGGTGGTGTGGCCTTACTGAGGCTTCTGGGGCATCGAGCAGCCCAGTGTTGTCTGGCTGACGGACATCTGTGCCACTTCCCGAACTGACCAGGAGATCGAGGTGACCCTGGTGATTGCGCGTGTAGACCAAGACCTGAGGACAGATCTGGACAAGGCACCTCCACCAGGCTTGCCAGTCGAACCATCGAGGGTCTGATGCGTCAGTTTCTAAGAGACCTCGATTTTCTTCATGCCAACTGCATTGTTCACCAAACCTTGGACCCAGAGAACATTCTGTTGATAAGTGGTAAAACAGTCAAGCTGGCTGACTTTGGCCTAACCAGAATCTGTAGCTACCAGATGGCCCTTCCTGACGTTCTTCTGCAGTCTCCACATGCAACATGTGGACGTGTGGTGCTTTGACTGTTGCTTTGTAGAGGTGTTTCATTGAAAGCCTCTCTTCTGTGGAAACGCTGAAGCTTACCAGCTGGTCAAAATCTTTGACCTGATTGGGTTGTGTCTCCAGAGGACGACTGGCCACAGATGTATCTTTACCCCAGGAGCCTTT